GTAGGAGGCTGAGGCAGGAGGATTACCACAAGTTCCAAGCCAACCTGGGCTACATGGTGAGTTAAAGGCCACCCTGAACCACATACCAAGACCCTATCTCAAAAATAAATAAAAATAAAATGAATAAAAAATTTAAAAGCCTGAAGGTATAGCCTAGTGGTAGGTTTGAATGTAGTTAATGCCACTGAATGGGACACTTCACCATAGTTAAAATGGCACATTTTGTAGGATGGGTGTTTTACCACAATAAATCAGTATAAAAGCAAAGAAAAAGTACTGCACTATTACTCTACCAGCCCTGATTCAGAATGCTTCTTGGAAACTGGCCTGGCTCCTCTTAATCCATCCCCACTCACACAGCGCCCTTCCAGCCAGCTCCTGCCCTCCAAGGACCTTCGATTTGTCAGCAAGATGCCCTGTCCAGGTGCCACCATCCAGCAAGCAATTCGCCTCCTTTTCGGATTAGTGATACACTACGTTGTTTGCAGTCTCATTGCAAATCCCAAAGGAGAGATTAGGCAGGGGCAGCAGAGACTCTTAATCTCTCTCTCTCTCTCTCTCTCTCTCTCTCTCTCTCTCTCTCTCACACACACACACACACACACACACACACACAATGAAGCAGGCAGCTGTGACACCATCCGGGGACAGCTGACACCTTAGTGGCCTTGCAAGGGTCCTATGCACCTCTGTTCACAACACCCAGTTCTCTGCACATCCACTGAAGTTCTCACTAGCTGCTTGTTTTGAGTCCCCCTCCCAGCACCGAGGATGGCAGGAGGTGGTCCCCAGAAGCCGGACCCTGAGCAAGTGACCCTCACGGACTCCTCTAGGAAAATGGCTTCCAGAAGGGAGACTGGAAACTGAGCTGTGTCTGCACTTACACTGCATCTGGGATGTTCTGATCCAATGGCATTTGTCAGGGCACCAAGGATGAAACTGTCTCCTGGTTCTAGAGAAAAAGAAAGCAGTCTATATGAATTCCAAGTTTGCTAGCAGACTTGCTTGGGCATAGGTCACTTTGATGGACAATATTTCCCATCAACTATGCTGGGTGTCATATTTAAGGTGTCATATTTTGCTTTAACTCTCATTGTCTTCCAAAATGTAGTACTATTCCTGAGGCAGTACTAATTGCTGGGCTCGGGGTGGGAGTGTCAAGACAGGGTGTCACTATGTGGTTCAGGCTGGCCTCAAACTCACAGTGAGCCGGGCGTGGTGGTGCATGCCTGTAATCCCAGCACTTGGGAGGCTGAGGCAGGAGGATTGTTGTGAGTTCGAGACCAGCCTGGGCTACAAAGTGAGCTCAAGGCCAGCCTGAACTGAATAGTGAAAACCTGTCTCAGAAAGACAAAAACAAAACAAAACAAAACGCAATGATCATCCTGCCTCAGCCCCCAAGTACTGGGATTACAGGTGTGTGTCACCTTGCCAGGCTAATACTAATTGCTTTTTTTGGAGGACATTACAATAAGAACACAGAACTCTTGCTCACTAAAAAGACAAAATTCAGACAATGATAAAATGAAACACAGACTGGGAAACCACAAGCTAACCTTGGTGAGATTTCTTAGAATGGTGTCAAGACAATCTATCTTCGCCAGCAGTTTAGATCCTCTTCCAAGTCAAGTGGCACATCCTTCTTTTTTTCTTTTGTTGTACCGGAGATTGAAGCCAGGGCCTTTGCACTGAGCTCCATCTCCAGCCCCTCAGTTTTTGAGACCGGGTCTTCCTGAATTGAGCAGATAGGACTTGAACTTTTGATCCTCCTGCCTCAACCTCCTAGAGTACTTGGATTACAGATATACAATGCCATGCCTGGCTAAGTGGTATGTCTTTTTTATTTTTTGGTGCTGGGAATTGAACTCAGGACCTTGCACTTGACAGCCAGGCACTTGTGCCTCTGAGCTATATCTCCTGCCTGTAAGTGCATGTCTTATGCCTGTGTATTTACCCAGAAACTAGTGTGGAGCTTACAACAGTACTTACAACAGTAGTCAATAAAGGTTTTTCTTTGAGTTTTAATGACTTCCACCAATCAAAGGTCTGAGAAGGAAAGTGGGCAAGAGGGAAAGTGCTCCCTTGGCTGAAGCAGAAGGAAGCAGGAAGGAAATGGGGAAGGGTCTTAGTCACCAGGCAAAAGAGTTAGATTTTTTTGTTTTGTTTTTGTTTTTTTTCTCCGGTACTGGGAACCGAACTCACG